CTCTTAGTGATCAAAACAGTTCTACCCGACGATTGTGGAGATAAACCAAAGGACATTTTGAAATTTATTTCATCACATTCTTTAAGTGAGAACTTTCCAAACGTTTGTGTAGAATTCTTCTTTCTCTTCCAGTAAGTGTTGCATCTGGAGAAAGAAGCTTTTCTAAACTTAAGTTAATTAAAAACTACTTAAGATCCACTATATCCCAAGAACAGCTAGTAGGACTGGCACTTATGTCTATAGAATATGATGTATTACAACGACTTGATTTAAGCAACATCATTAAGGACTTTGCTGAAAAAAAGGCTCGTAAGTTGCCTTTGTAAACTAGACTTGCAATACTTACAGAAGCCTAACAGACTAAATTACATCATTACATCATTGACACCAGGCTATTGTTCATTGTTCTTTATATAATATTTTTAAATATAATGTAAATATACTTTACGTCCAAACTGTGTCCAAAGTCTTATGTTTCTTTAACTGACACTGTGCAAAATATACAACGCTTATGTAAAAAAAATGACGTTGATTTACTATCCAATTACATTTATATGGTATTACACACTTTTTGTGAGTGTCAAATTGACACCGTCTGTGTGTCATATGCACATACGGTGTCAATATAACACACGGTTGGTGTCCAAATTACACACAGACGGTGTCAATATCATATGACACACACAAAAGATGTTAACATCCTGTGATGTCATGCTGTGTTGATTTAACACGAACATTTTACAGTGGGGCTATCAAAGGTCTTAAAATCAGCAGTTACTCAAAAAGTGTTGCAAACTTAAAAACAGCTGATTGTTGTTGTTTTTATAGGGGTTTTTACTAGGAGTGGGGGCGACTCAAAAGATCCTTGCCCGGGTGAAAATTTCGTCTTGAGCCGGGCCTGCTGAGAGTCCTTTACGTTACCGACATTTCCATGCCGTATAACAATATGGACCATACATAGCATTTAACCATCCTGTAGCGGAGATTGAAGGAAAGATTGCGGTTACATAGGGCTTAAATTTGATAAAAGCTTGTCTTGCTTGTTCGGTACGGCATCTTATTTCTTGTTGAGGATACCATTGGTCATTCATCTTCATTCCCAAGAATTTAAATGTTTTCACTTGATCTCTTGGAGCATTATCTACTTGCAATTGTATTCTTAAAAGTGCGTTTTTTCTTATTGCCATGCATTTAGTTTGTCCAGCATTTATCTTCAAGCCATATATTTTTCCTGCGGTGTTGATTTTATTTAACACCAACTGCATATCATGTTCGTTGTCTGTTATTATCGCGATGTCGACGACGTAACTAATGTTATTTGTCGGGAACCCGTTAACTTTTATTCCACACTCAGAGCCTTCCAGTGCCTCTGCAAAAATGTTCTCCACATAGAGATTAAAGAGCATAGGAGACAAAATATACCCCTGTCGCACTCCTCTTAAAATTTCAAATTCTTCTGTGTTGGTTGATTTGTTCAGTCTCACTCGTGCTTTTTGATTCAAATAGAGATTCTGGATAACTCTTATATCTTTCTCGTTAATCTTAGGGTTGTGTAGAATTTTTATCATTGCGTCATGTTTTACGGTGCCAAACGTTTTTCATAATCGAGGAATGTTATGACATGATTATATCCTTTCGTTGATCCATGAGGTTTTGTACAAGGGAATTCAAGCAGAAAGCTGCTTCACGTGTACCCAGTCCGCTCTTAAAACCAAATTTTGTCTCACCGCTTAGATCTTCCAGCTTTTTGAATATTCTTGTATGAAGTATGCGAAGAAACACCTAAAGCAAATGGCTCATTAAACTTATCAGTATGTGGTCTTTGCATTTTGTCGCTCTTTGTGATTTAGGGATCATTATAAAGGTTGAATTTGTTGTTTGTTTAAGATTTAAGATATTTGTTGTTTAAGAGAGTGGTTTGGCTGTACCACTAACGAATTATTCAAAACAGCAGTTACTAAAATTAGAATCGGCATAATGATATCCAATCTCCGATAGGAGAGGCACTCAAAGAAGAAGATAAAGGTTGAATAAAGCCAATCCGTTAAAATGTGGTCGGTGTTATATATGGTATTGAAAATTGTTATCAGCATGTCGATGTTATCATCGTCCAGCAGTTTTATAGCTTCCGTAGTAATTCCATCCGGTCCAGGGGCCTTAAATGGGGAGGATAGACCAATGAAACTTAATTCCAATGAGTCATCACTAGATGCCGAACCTGCTGCTGAATTTTCTTGATTTTCTGGACCTTCTAAATAGTTGACTCTTTTACAAACACAACTGGTGTGCCCTTTCTTGTGACAATGAAAACATTCCCAATTTTTCGCAGGACAATTTGCAGGGTTATGTCTCCTTGTACATTTGGGACAAGACTTCCAACGCTCCTCTCTATTATCAGGCTTAACGTTACTTTGATTTGTTTATTTGTTTACAGATTTGTTTACATCTGACTTTTTACTTGAAAAATTTACTTTACATACTTTGTTTACATCTGCTCCTACTAACTTAGCTTGCCCTTCTGCTACTTCTATTGCTTAAGCTATTTGCAGTGCTTTATGGTATGTCAAATTGTCTTCAGCTAACAATCGTTTTCTGATATTTTCAGCTTTTAGCCTACAGACGAACTTATCGCGAAGAGCATCATTAAGAAATTCGCCAAAACTACAGTCTTTAGATAAACTTTTTAATTTCTCAGCAAACTCTGTGAGATTTTCATGAGATTCCTGGTGGCAATTATAAAAGACAAACCTTTCAGCTATTATACTAACTTTTTTGGACTATAGTGTGTTAACAGAGTGGATTTCAACTGTGAATAAGTTCTTGTACTTGGGACTTCTGGAGCAGTTAAATCTTTTATAGTTTTATACGCTTCTTTTCCCACTAATGTAAGGAATAATGGTACCTTTTTTTCGTCTTCTACCTCATTGCACAAAAACAACTGCTCCATTCTTTCCAAATATGTGGTTATGTCATCCTCTCTGGATTTGAAAGGTTCGATTTGTCCAATAAAGGCCATGTTACTACAATTGCGTGAGTAGCAGTAATCTCGTCGCCAAACTACTGTTGTGTATTTACGCCAGTAAAACATAGATTTACACTAAACAACAGTTCTTTATTATAGACTTGACATGAGGTATCTTTTTTAATGTCGTGTCTCATGACAAGTCATCAGTAAAACATACAACAATAGCAAGTGACATGACATGAGTTAGACATACAACAAGTTAGTAGTTGGCAGATTCGGTCTATTATCCGCAAAGAGGAACGAAGCGGTTTGGCCAGATTTTAGCTAGTTTTTCCTGGGTATGAACATGGTTTCCTTGATTATTCTTCAGGCGAGTCTCATGGTGTTTCTTGTATATACTTGAAATTTCTTTAACCTTTTTATGTAGTCCAAAGCTGTCTCCCTTTTCTTGTAGTGATTCCAATTCTTCACAACGTTCTTTCATCCAGCTTTCTTTTGCGTTTTTAATTCTTGTCCTTATCGTACGTTGGATTTCCTTGTTTTCCTGTTGATTGTGATGTATTTTGTACTGTCTGCGTTGCTCCATTAGATTAAGTATCTCTTTCGTCATCCACTCGTTCTTGCGATTTCTTTTTATTTCACTTGCGGCTACTTCGTCAGCCTCGACTATAGCTCTATTTTTATTTTCTCACAGGTTTCCTCTATGCAATTTCCTTGTATGTTTCTCAAGTTCTCGTTCATATGCTTACTGTATGCAGATCTAAGCTCTTCATCTCTCATTAATTCTAAAGTGTTTATGTATTTTTTATTAGATGACTTTTTAACCTTTGCCAATTGAAGCCTTACATTCGCGATTAGGGGGTTGTGGTCAGACGAATTAATATGGCTATATGTATGATCTTTCGAAATATCATGTTTCTGTAAAGCCCTAAATAATGCCTTTAAATTATTGTAACCAGATTCACACCAAGGATTTTGATGTTTGCCCCTATTTGTCGAAAATAAAATGCAAGGCCAACAGAAAAGTTTGTTTTTTATTTCACTCCCGGTAAGCCATGAGTACTTGCTGTACCAATTATCTGAAAATGATCTATTACTTCCCTTACCCCCCCCCCCACCGCACTAATATTTATAAGCCGGGACATTTTAGACAAAGGGCGTCCCTTATTTTGTTCTTCATATGGAATAGATGAAAACCAATTTTGTAAAATATAATTTACAATATCAGATTTTTCAATACTTACAGTTTCTCCCATACCTTGCATTTTTTAGGTTAATTTACCTAAATTTGTTTACACTTTAATTAAAAAAACTTTCAATATATCAAAAAACCCTTTAACTATTTATGGCAGTGGTAAAATCACAGTATTACTTTAGAAAATAAAAATAAATCCCAGAAAGAAAAGCCAATCCGTGCACTTAATATCACTTCACTACTTAGTTCTTAAGTACTTATCCAGACCGAAATAACATTTCATCCCGCGCTCGCAAGATACAGTTTGCGACCAATCCAAATGAAGCATCGGCAAATTTAAATTTGCCGTACTTGGCAATTAAATGCGCATGGACAGAAATGTATATTTGGTTGGTCATCAACTAACATTCCGTTGAATTTTACATGTAAATCGTCAAGCTTAGGATCGGCTTACCGAAACCGATTTCTCGGATTTCGGATCATTAATTTAAAAATTGACTTACGCAGGGATCACTTAACGTCAGATTGGACGAATTCTTTAAAAAATCATGAATAAATTTTAGTCTTTATTATCTCAGATATTTTTTCACAGAAACAAATGACATCAACTTATTACCTGCCACAATTATTGAAATGCTGATTAAATTAAATATTAAAGATTTAGATCTACTGTAATCATCTGATATTATTAAAATCTTTTGCTCTGCTTGAAAATTTTATATAAACATTACCCTTTCACTTTATTTAATTTCAACTTATTCTCTAGATTTTTATGTTCTTTTGTATTAGTTTTTGTTATAAATAAGATGGGATTAAGTCCAAGTTTTAACAAAAAACAACTGGTATAAAATCAATTTATTAAAAAATAGGTTACAACAACTTGCAAAAATAATAAACATTGTAGCTCTTCAACTTTGCTTTTAAAAACATCTATGGTTTGACAAAAAGCGCTATTTTTGAAATAATATTCTTCAGTTTACTGGCCTTAAACATTATAACTTTTCTGTAAGGAATAACTTGCTTATCTTCTGCCAACCACCTGCCCCCCAATCCAACATCTGATTCATTGGCAACACTAAACTCAAAGCCAATATCAGCATCTTTAGAGAATATTTCTTCCTCGTCATTGGTAAAAATTACTTCATCTGAAAAACAAAATAGACAATTTACATATAAATTTAGTATTTAAACTTGTATTATTATAATACATAAGAGAATATACGAAAGGCTAGAGGAGGATATTTGTGAGATGGAGTTCAGGTTCCAAAATGAAATGGGTACTCGAGAAGAAATATTTGCCATCAACATATTGATTCAGTGATGTTGTGATGTAAATTTTATATCAATACTTACAAACAAGTGCATTGACAGTAAAATCATAAATATAGTGCAAACATTATATTGCAACCAAAGTGCTATAGTTCAAATTGATGGACAACACTCAGAAGAAATGAAGATCTGTAGAGGTGTTAGACAGCGATGGGTTTTATCACCACTTTTGTTTAACTTATATTCTGAAGAAATTTTTTCCAAAGCGGGAGTTACCGTTAACGGAAAATTAGGAAAATTAATTAAAAACTTATGATATGCAGACGACACTGTGATCACAGCAACGATTATAGAAGATCTATAATATCTTATCGAAAGCTTAAGTATGAAGTACATGCTAATTACAAAAAGACTACAAAATATACATCATCTGTTGACAATCACTGGTAATAAACAGGCGAATAGAGATTGCCAGATCAGCATTTATAAAAATGAAGCCACTCCTAACATGCAAAAATCTAAATTTGGAGATCAGACTATGTACCATTCACTGTTATACATTTTCAATATTATTATATGGGGCTGAGACTTGAACATTAAAAAAATGCAATTTAAAAAGAACTGAGGCTTTTGAACTCTGGTTATACCACAGAGTATTAAGAATATCATGGACTGATAGAATTACAAATAAAGAAGTAATGGAGAGGGTTGGTAAAGAAACTGCAGACCTAATCACCACTCTACAAACCAGAATAACTAGGCCACATAATGAGGGGACCAAAATATGAAATTTTGAGACTCATAATATAGGGAAAGATTCAAGGAAGAAGATCTGTTGGCTGAAGACAGAACTCATGGTTGAAGAATGTATGTGATTGGTATCAATGATAAAAATGGCCATTGTGATTGCCAACCTCCATAGGGAGACAGCACTCTAAGAAGAAGAAGACTTGTATTTCAATTGATTCTTTTATTGCTGAAAGGGGTTAAGTACCATTTTCTACTAATTCTAGTTATTACAAAAATTCTTCTTTCTTTTGTACAACATTTTTTCAACTATACACTGAAAAATTTAAAATCCTTTACAGGTAAATTTAAAGAATTATCGGGCAATGATTAGTTTAGAGCACCCATCATAACCAAATTTATTTCTGACATTTAACATAAGCTTAAATGGTGTCAGAGTTGCCATATCTTCAGTTTTTTCATACTCTCACATAATATTGTAGAAATGTATTGAAATTATATAAAAATTCATAGATGTTAATTAAATTGAAGATTATAATTAAATGCATATACAATGAAAACTACTTCGGAAATTTACAATTTATTATTCACAAGTGTCATTGTAGGGGGTTGACCATTCGCACCTAATAATAAGGTTCTAATAGACAAGATGTTGAAAGTGCTGTCAAATAATTTACAATATTTAACTGCATTTAAAGTAACAGAAAACTGCATTTAAAGTAACATAAATATGAATGCTGTTTTATACTTATTCAAAACGTAGCTTTTTATAACACAAATTATAATTTCGTAAAAGTAACTTATATTTTAAACCTTCTTGTGCATATTTTAAAAAAAAAATATGGCAACACTGATGCGGTGCCAGGAGAAAAATATATTTGGTTATGTTGAGTGCTCTAAACTAATCATTGCCTGAATTATTATTATTCCTTATTGTTTTAGATAAATTATTATACTTCATCTTTTTGTCTTACCTTTATTATCTTTGGACCTACAAGTTTTACATATCATAACGTAGTACTCAAAATCATATGATGGATCCTTTTTCTTCATCCTATCCACTTCTTCGCTTAAGGAATTTAACATAGGTACAGATATTTGAGCTGGAATATTAACAAAGCGTTCATTTACTAAAAATCCTAGCCTACTGTGCTCTGTAACTATTTTCCTAATTTCAGTTTGGATGGATTCATCTGCATGTTTTTTGCTGAGTTCTTCAAGCAAAGAAAAGAATTGCTGCACACATGGAGTCTCCTAAAACAAACAAATCTATACAAGGAACAATATTATTTTAGAACTGATAATTCTACCTTGTGTGAACCCAAATTGACAACACTAGCAATACCAAAAACGTCTTTTTCATCACTCATTTCAACATCTTCATCCTCATCATCACTGTCACCATAGCTTTGTTTCAATACGGAACCTACACCATGTTGTGCAATAAGTAAATCACTCATTTGGGAAAGGTCTATATGAGCTTTAAGGAATAACTGATTTAATAGTTGCTTGATACCATGAAAATCTTGTACCTCGGGATTCCGTCCTTCAAATGTTGCTTGAATTTCCTAAAATCAAACATTAAATTTATAAAAAATTGGCAATACCAAATATTAACCGTAATTTGTTAATTTGTCCACATATTTACAAAAGATGATCTTATTTCATTTAAATTTTAGTTTTTATACCTGCACGTGGTTCATATGAATTACCTTCTGTCCATGGTAAGTTCCCGAATCACTCTCTTCGTTACTTGATCCTTCGGATTCAGATTTGGAAGGTGCTCTGGACTTCTTCTTTGGACCTGCCATAATACTGCCAAATTAATTAAAATACAATTTCAAATTCAAAACAAAGTTACAGTCCGGTATCGAACACTATGTCAAAACAATTTTAAATTTTCTAACCTCAATAATTTATAGGTTAGAATTTTGACACATCATTTATAGAGTTGGAATATTTCATAAAGGGTTTTTTTAATAGTAACAGTAACAAATAATAAAGTAAAAAATAATCTGTAATGATCATAAGCAGTACAGATAAAAAAAATTATGATGGACTATATCAAAAATAAGATTGTATTAATAATGAAGTAAATAAACAGAAATAGAAAATAGGCACCCAAAAGATAAGAGATTTTAAGAAACTAAATCAAATCGTATTTTAAGGTAATCAAAACTGAAGAAAGCCGATAAATTAAGAGAATATTGACTAGATAAATATTTTTTAACTGGTTTAAGTGTTGTGAACTAAAAATCAGTAACCGAGTAGTTGTAACAAGGACAGCAGAAAAATAATGAACTCCAGAGAACACTACAATTTTGCACTAAAAATCTACCAGACAAAGTGAACAATACAAGATCAAAAAAATACTACTATGACGATCAATAATTGATAAATAAAGCGCTTGATAACCACCTAATTTGGAAGGCAATTGATAAAAAAGTTCAAGGCACAAAAAATTTTTGAAGTTGCTTAGTGGAAACATCTGTTCAGTACTATAAAGAGAAAATAGAAGGCTAATGTATAACGATGATAGAATAGTTAGGTTATAAAATAATATAATCTTCCAATCATCGTTATGATATGTTCGTGATGTGATTATGATATTAGGATTTTCTTAGATACAGTGTCAAAAATAACAACTCCCATCTCTAATTACATCTCATGAAATTTTTATTTACTGAAAGAAAATAAATCAGACTTTAGAACTAATGATATATTATCAATATTCTTAAATAAACTTTTAATTTATTATTTGAATAGCCTTGGTACAAAATGGCATATTTTTAACGTAAATTAATAACATCGACTAAAGGTATGATCAAAGAATGTAGATCGTATGATGATATTAAACTCACGCAAATGTGGAAATTATAGGTTTAAAATGTTTGGAATCTAATTAGTTAAAATATTCAGAGTGAATTTTGTATAAATTATTTACTATTCAATTAAAAACGTAACTTCACTCCCTTAAAAAAATTTTAATGAATGGTTCCAAGATAAATACTGATGAAATAAAAATATTTATAATATATGTACAATTGAAAGATTGTTTCTTAAAGGTGCATATAATTAAAACAACTTCTAAAATTAGATGTTAATTTGCATATTTCTAAAATAAAAAAATGTAAATTATATTCGTTAAAAAGTTCCTCCAACCAACTGTCAATTTTCAGTGATGCAAACTGCGAAACCAGAACTAGATTCACAAAAATTCCCTAGCCTGTTGTACTATACAAAACATATAGAAAATGGACATCAGGAAGTGATTTTTGTCGCGTAAATTCAATGAAAATTAATGCTTTTTTAAGGAATATGCCGATAATATTCCTAAAACTGTTGTTTCACGAAATAGAAAATCTAATAACGTGAATAAAAAGTGACATAAGTGAGGTCTACAAATTTGAAAACAATGAATCTCATGGTGGGTGACGATCGTGTTTATGCCGCCGAGAGAATTACTAGGAAAAGGATTCGAAAGGTAAACATGAATAGTAAAGAGATGTAAACAATAAAATAATAAAGTGTTGTTTGGGACTTGTCATATTTGGCGGTTGGAACAAAAAAGGGTCGAATTGTTAATGGGAATTCCTTTATTTTATGGTCAAAATGTCAGAACACCATTAAATTTAATTTAACATGTTGACTAGGTTTTAAATGTTTTTTATGGAATTTAAAACACCCATTAATGGTGCTAATAAGTTGAATTTCGTCGATCTTGTGGTTTGTTGTGTTGAATGTAAATATATACAAGTTTTTCTATAATTTATATTATATTAAAGTCGAGTGTGCCACAACTTAAGTATAATTTCCCAATAAAAATATAATAATAGGAAAATATAGTCAATACATCAAAGCTGATATAGTTTTTTGGATTGCACATGATTAAGGATTGTTAAAATTGTTTGGAATTGGAGTAGACAGTTTTCTTTGTTGTTATAAATACTTAATTTGTTGAAATTTATTTTCATCTATTAAATGATGACTGCAAGGAATATAGTTTTCACTTTTGTGATTTCTTTGTGAAATAGAGCTGTATAACAATTTTTCTTCTGCTAAAATACTACAAATTATGAAATCATCATAATGTCTGTCCTCCTATAAAAGTGGGACACTAGCAAAAAGAGAACAAATAGAGGTTGAAATACAGCTGAAATAAAATGCCTGTTTATTTGGTTTTTTTTTGTAAATAACAGAGTAAATTAATTGGAGTACCAAGGACAATCCTAATAGTGTCTTAAACAACTGGGTCTAAAGTGAAGTCACTGCAAAACTAGAACTTGTTGGTTATGGAGATGATCTGATGCCACTTCAACTGTAAAATACAATCACAGCAACATTTGAGATGTAATTAATACATCAAAGAAAAGAAAAACCAAATTTTGAAACTCAATTTTTATGTATAATATTTACTAAAACCAACAAACTGCCATGTATTTAGTCCTGGTGATGAAACATGATGTAAATAGTTAAAAAAAAGGTATTCTTGTTTTAATTTTTGCAAAATCAAATTATCAATAGGATTATTAATATCCAATTAATATTTTTATGTAAAATGTTTATTCTACTACAAATCATTCATTTAAATATTTAATTGGTATTTTTATAAAATGTAAACCTCTATGGCTAATGAATCTTTGGCATATTTGGTAACTTAACCCACTGGAATCGGTATAGTAGAATTTAACGGGATATCTAACACATATATAAAATCATATTTTCAGCGAATTGACAAAGATAACAATCATATTTCCCCTTGTTCTCTTATATATAGTCTATGTATTTCTATCTCTTATATGAGGTCAGCTTATATGTAAGAAACAGCGGCAGGGTTGTCTTATTACATATTTGAATTAAAACATTGAATTGATTCAAAAAATTGGCGATCAGTGGAGAGGTTTAATTGCCATTCAAAACTGGATGATGATATTAAAAATGAAACTCTAATTAACACAAATACTGGTACAAAACTTCTTAAATCCATGAGAAATTTACAGATTCGCATTCTTATTTGATGAAATTGTAACACTAATTTCCAATAAAACAAGATAATTTTGGCAACATTGCCATTCATCCGTTTTCTTCACTGGTAAACTGCATATGAGATAGGCCAAACCCTATGCTATGTATTTCTTTTTGGAGGTAACCACTTAAGTGTGAAGATAAAAATATGATATGCTGACTGTTTATACAACAGAAGAACTGATACAAATAATAAAAAGGTACTTTAGGGCAATTCAGTATAAGAAACTATTAAATTATTTATTATGGCTTTTAAAAATAGGCCAATACCTATAGAAAAAACTCTATTGGCCATTATTCTTCGATGTGAAAAGTTTGACTGTACTAATGGCACATGTAAAAAATGCTGCCCATCAGATCAACCTCGCAAAAAGATATCTCTGGAATGAAAAATGAGAGAAATTCAAGTTTGTGCATTGGCTAAAGCAACGCTGTGTTGAAGTAAACAAATTGCTGATGAAGCTGATTTGAATGCAAAAACAGGAATATTTTGAAAAGAAACAACTACCATTGTTATAAAGTTCAGACCACTCATGAAATATTTTGAAAAAATCTTTGAAAAATATTTTGTTTACAGATGAGTTCTCCTTCACAATTCACACCAAACATAATTCATCTGTTGTATGTTATTGGTGTCAGGAGAATAAGCATTTTAATCTGTCTGTATGTCTGTCACTATCCACAAAAGTTGAATGTTTGGAGTGGAATTTTGGGAGACCATATTATTGGTCCCTTTTTCATTGAAGGCAATTTAAATGCAGTCAAATATCTCTAATTACTGCAAAATAAACTTATTCCTGCACTTTAAGGTCTTTAAATTAACTTCAATGAGATTTGGTTTCAACAAAATGGCTGACCTGCACATAATCCAAAAGCAGTTATTGTTAATTTTTACTGAATCTGTCATTAGTACAGGCGGTACAATAAAATGGCCCCTTCAGTCACCCAATTTAGCTCCTCTAGATTTTTATTTTTGTTGGATGCTAAAAACGAAATTGTACAGGCATGAGTTAGAGCGAGCCATTGACTTGGAGGAACTGAAGGAAAAGATAATCCAACTTAGCCAAGACATATCAGCAGATGAACTCAACACCATGAGAAATGTGTTGTATAATAGACTTGGTTACTGTTCAGTACAATTTGGTGGTCTGTTTGAACATTTAATTACCTAAGAATTTTATTTGGTTTAGAATTCCTAATTTTTTGGAATTATTTTTAATTTAAACAGTAGTGTTGGAATTATTTTTTATTTGATTTCATTTTCATAGAACAAATTTTATACTTTTATACTAATTTTATCTTTTTTTGTTTCATTTTTATAGAACTAATTTATATTTACACACATACTACCTCTAAAAAATCTAAACGAAAATATGGTTACAAATATATTAATTGGAAAATACCAAATAATTTTTAATTTTTAATTAAAAGATATAATTTTTCATGCAATTTTAAATGTAATATAATACACCTACTCCTTTCTAATGTTTTACTAGTACTGTCTTTATTTATTATGCTTTATGAATGATCAACCCACGAACCCATGCAATACTCACAGCATATCAAACTAGTTCTGTTCTGCTTATTCCCACAGTATTAAAGTCAAAGTGTCCTTACTTTGATGATGCGATGTTGCCAAATAATTTTGTATGAAGCTTTTTTATTCTGGCATCATAATGCAGGTTATTATTTTTATTGGGAATAAGGCACAATGTGACTTTAAAAAACTTATTTTGAAGTTTAGATTTCCAATTTGGAAATCATACTTAAAATATGAAATATTAATACTTAAATTTTATTTATATAAAACGATTTCTGAAGTGGAAATCAAAATGTTAATTAAAACTTATTGCAAAGTAAAATTGTGGCATATTCCCAATAAAAAAAAACAGTAAGCTGCCATTTAAATCAATTTGCCTAAATTTGATTATCATTTTAACATTTGAACATTGTTCTAATGTTAAAAGAATAACAGATCAAATAAAATGAATAAGTTTGGCAACATTGAACTTCCCTTCTTCTGTTGAATTTATTATTTCCACTAATGCATTTTCAACGATATAAAGGGCAAAGCTAATATACCCCTCTCTTTTTAAACAGGTGTTTCTCATTCCATTTTACATAAGGTCCATACTGATGATAGATTATTACCCAGGCTGTACATAAAAAAAGTGGACACAAAATAGAGATAAATTGTTCATTCTTTAATTTATAGTTTCCTTTTACAAAAAGATAAAAAGATTCATACTGGGAAAGGCTAGAGAATCATTTATTTAGAACAATATTAAAATATCTAAGTAATACCCAAAGCTCGTTAGTGGAGATTTCTTATCAGTAGAATCTGCACCTCCAAAACTTTGGAAAATAAAATAGACATTGGTTTTTTAAGTCTCATACATCCGTATAAGACTCTCTATAATGTCTTACAATTAAAACAATGTTAATCAAAATTTGTTGGTGTCAAATAGGTAAATGGTAATTTTTTTATCACAAGATGGTACTTTTTCTGTCATTTTACTGAATTCGAGGATGTATTGATATTCATATTATTGATTAGTAACACCCAGTTCTCGAAATTATTATGGTCGGGGTCTTTTAGCCCTGAATCAAATGTGACCCAATGTTGATTTTCAAATTTTGTTTGCTTCTACAGAAAGATGTTTTACTAATATTTCATTTGTACTTCCAGGGTGTGGTGGAGTATCTAGTAAAATGGAAAGGCTGGAGTCAAAGGCACAATACTTGGGAACCTGAGGAAAACATCTTGGACAACCGCCTTATAGAACTCTACGAGCAAAATCACAGACCGGATGGAACCCTCAAAAGAGGACCTAAGAAAAAACACCATTCTGCTGCGGCTCCAGTAGCAGAAGACACCGAAGATGAGGGAGTCAGGAGTGGGGAGGAAAGTCAAGATGAAGGTCCATCTGAGACTGTGACTCCCGCACCTCCTGCAGCCAAAGGCAAGAGCAAACATGAGGCGAATGCTCGTGTTGAAGATGATGATACTCGGGCGGGTTAGTATATTCATTTTTTTATTTATTAGAATATACTAGAGAGGAAGATCAAAATTATTATCTATAACTTTGTTCTAAAATAACTCACAATCCTGCTTTGTATTCATACAGTGTACAATTACTTCGGCATCTAAGATATAATTTGGATTTGTTTACATTCACCAGCTTTGATTTTTTGAGAACCACCAAAATACTCTTTGAATGATTTAGTAAATGCTGTGGCAGACGTCAAAACAAAAAAAAGAACATATAGGGAGGCTGCTGCTTACTACAGTATTCCACATTGCGTTATTTACAATCACATAAAGGGTAGAAACATACCAATTGATAAGATGGGAGCTGGTGTGTCTACTGCATTGTCGAGACAAAATTGAATACCATATTGTGACATGTTTAAAATCCCAAGCAAATGTGGGCTATCCTTGCGGTAAACAAGAGCTACTAAAATGTAGTTCGTGAATATGTTAAAGACAATTGCCTAAAAACTCGCTTCAAAGATAGCATCTCTGGTGAAGATTGGTATCTTGCATTTATGAAACGCCATCCTTCACTTTTACTAAAGAAACCTGACCATATTCAAAAACTAAAAAATGCGCAAAATCCAGAAATCATTTATGATTTCTATTAAAAACTAAAAGAAGTTGTTCAAAATAATGGCCTTAATGACATCAGTAAATCCATGTTTGTATTTAATGCCGACGAGAGTGGATTTAGTAGTGATCCCTCTAGAATTAGAGCTATAGGTTCAAAGGGTAAAGCTCTATGCAGAGTTTCTGGTGGTTCTGGACGGGAGTCCATGACAGTGCACGCATGTGTTTCAGCAGATGGAAAATATTTACTACCACTCATCGTTTTTAAGGGTGCTACTGTCCAAGCAAGATGGGTATTACCAGAGACCATGCTAGGAACTGTTTCGCTTCTAGCAAGAATGGTTGGAAAGAGGAACCTCAATTTTGCCATTTGTTTCTTAATACATTTGTACCACAAATGCAAACAATTCGAGAGATACAGAATTTACCAAATCAAAAAGCTGTACTCTTGTATATGATGACCAACGAAGTTATATAAGTATTCAAATAATTGAACAAGCATTAAAACATAACATTTACCTTATTAAGTTTCCCATTAATTTAACAGACAAATTGCAAATACTTGATAAGTGTGTTTTTAAATCAGTTAAATATACATGGGATCGAAACTTAATAGGATATGGAAAGAAGAGTATGGGGAAAGGTACTGGATGTTTATCTATGGACAAATTCATAGAACTTTTAAGTAAAACTTGGCAGGAGGCTATGCTCTCACAAAATATGATATCTGGTTTTGAGACTACTGGTGTGTATTAGGGATGTGTAATTCACCATCGAAATCTCGATTTCTAAAGAAGAAAATAATGAATGAATGAATTAGAACATATATTTATTATTTTGTGAATGGATGGACTAACTAGTTTAAAAAAATGCCGATTAGCCTCAGATAACAGATTCATAATTCTTATGAATTTGACAATAACATAAAGTCTTATCTTAATGTCATAATGGTTCGGATCTTATGCCCATGTATTGGTTTGGATGTTGCCATGCTGTTTTGTTTCTTGTATTGTAATTTTGAAATAAAAATTTTAGTTGTGGTTAAAATGATTGAGGCATTTACATAAAATATAATTTTATGTAAAAGTGAGAATGAAAATGTGTTATTTAATGTTCCTAGAAAATTCACTGATTTTTTTTGTAAAGGTTATTTTAGAAATAACCTAATTATAAATACCTATGAGTTTAAATATATGTAAATATAAAAATATATCATACTTGAACCATATTTATATTTAAAACGGTTAATAAAAAACAAATCTTAATAATTTTTTGCAAATAAAAACTAAATAATCATATAATAATTTAAACCTAAACATACGATCGAAAGAAATAGTTCCGAACTACTTGTACGGTAGTGACAAGTAGTTAACTAGTGAACAACTGACTGAAAGAAAGAAATAGTTCCGAACTACTTGTATGGTAGTGAACTAGTGAAAGACTGACTGAAAACCGAAGTAAACGGGCGGCCAGCGCCGAGCTTGTGTGATGATTGAGACGAGACATCTGGCAACCAGTAGGGTTGGATTTCGATGTCGGTCCTACAAATAGTTCTTTCACGAACTAGTTCACTGAACTAGTTCATTTTTGTGAAATAGTTCTGTTGAAGTAGTTCGTCTAAAAGAACTAATAAACACACCTCTAGTGTGTATTCTGTAAATAGTCAAAAATTTCCTGAATCCGAATTTAGTTCAGAGCAGCATCAGTTTTATAAAAAAAAAATACTCTCCTCCAAGACTTCTGGTGAAAATACTTTAGATGGAAATAAGGAAAATACTAGTGGATTTATTAGCAAAACATTAATAAATGAAGCTGAACCATCATCATTCAAACACCAAACATTTGTAGCTAAATCTACAACATCTTAATTGCAGAATTAGATATGTCTAGTTTTATTTCTCCCACCATCTTGCGTGGTGGAAGATACGAAGTGAGCGTTTTCTACGGAGTTTTTTACATAGTTGGCGGTACCATAAGCATGGTGATAGGTTGCTCCCAGAAGATCATAGCCTGGAATTTTGCCTCTACTTGCGAGTTGTTGTTCGTTCGCAGCATGGGTTTCCTGTATAACTACCAAGTCGATGTCGTTAGAAAGTAGTATGTTTGACAGCAGTTCGCTTTTGGATCGGCTAATGCCTTCAATATTTATCTGGCAAATCCGGACAATGGGTCCAAGAGTTCTAGTCATTTGGTTCTCATAAGAACCATTTCCTGGTTGGGCGTTCATGTTTGCAGTTGTGTATTGGCCAGGAGATCGTTGGATAGTTTGGCCGCCTGTTCGTTCTAGCTCATTTAGTGTTAACCAGAGGGCACGTGCAGAATTCTTCTGTGGACGCGAGTTGGTTTACCCTCCAGGACGTCTGTGGCATTCATCGATTTATCGGCTGCCTATGACACGGTTTGGAAAGATGGCCTCATCTATAAGCTCCTTAAAATAATCCCCTGCAAAGCAACCGCCCGACTCATAAATACTATGCTGAGCAGTAGAAACATTCGTGTAACCATGGGAACTACAGTGAGCAAACAGAGAACGCTTAATAATGGCCTCCCCCAGGGCTCCGTACTTGCACCGCTGCTATTTAGTATGTATATAGCTGATATGCCCCCTACCAGATCTAAAAAATTTGGATATGCAGACGACTGGGCACTTGCAACTCAAAGCTCCTTAATACAAAACTCCGAGGCAATCCTAATGGAAGATTTGGAACGCCTGGTTTTGACAATGGAGACTTAAACCTAACCCCAACCAACTGCTCACGCACAACTATAATCCCAAGTACCTCGGCGTCAGCCTGGACAGAACACTCTCCTTTAAGAAACATCTTGAGAACACCGCAGCAAAGCTGAGAACCCGTAACAACATCATACAGAAGCTTTGCGGGACTACATGGGGCTCATCAGCAGGTACACTTCGGTGTTCAGCCCTTGGACTCGTATACTCCGCAGCTGAATACTGCTCTCCTGTTTGGCTGAATAGCGTTCACACAAAAATTATAGATACCCAGCTCAATGTCGCCATGCGTCTCATATCTGGAACGATCAAGTCTACACCTGTGGAGTGGCTTCCACTATTGAGCCATATACCTCCACCTAATCTTCGTCGTCAGCATGCTCTGCTTAGAGAATTCCAAAAGCTGCTTAACAACCCGCAATTACCTATACACACATATGTCGCCGACGCTAATTCACATCGATTGCGCTCCAGAAAACCTCCGACTAGAGATGCAATAAACTTGAGTTCCAACAATTTCCAAATGAACTCCCAGTGGAAGAACATGCAGAGCGACAGACCGAACCTAATAATGAGAAACACAGCATGCATCACAGAAACTCTACCAGGTTTTGACCTCCCCCGAAAATCATGGTCAACTCTTAACAGGATAAGAACGGGTCATGGAGTCTGCGCAGATTCCCTTTATAAATGGAGGATGAGAACCTCTGCTGAGTGCGACTGCGGCGCCGAGAAACAGACCATCCAGCATATGATTGCGGAATGCCCTCGGAGGAAGTATTATGGAGATCCTCTAGACTTCGCCTCTGCAATACCAGCGTCGATTGAATATATTAATACATTAGATGTTAGATTGTAACATATATGTGATAATGTTGTGTATCAAATTGCCATACGCTAAATAAATAAATCTCCCACCATACTAGTGGACCGTATATTTCATGTGGAGTCAACAAGAACGACAAAAAAACTTGACTCTGACACAGTTAAAGAAATTGCTCCCACAGAGAATTAACTACTAGTGACGTTTTGAACAGAATGAAGGAACAGAAGGGTCTTAGAAAGCAGAAAGGAAATGGAAAAGGAAATAAAGTTCCTTTAGGGAGGAAACTCCAGTCCCAAGTAAAAATTCAGATATAAAGAAATGTAAGTTATTGTCGTCATCTGTGCAAGTAAAACAGAAGTATCATACTGAGACTGATAACAGTCCATGGAATAAACAGATAAGAGAAGAGCTATAAGAACTAGAGGCTGCAGAACAAATTCCAGCAGGGGAAATTTGTATTAGTAGAATTCAAGGGTGGTAAAAGGCTGACAACATCTTACAGATATGTTTGTATGATCGAAGATATTGATTGGGATGAAAATGAAATTAAAGTTATAGCTCTAAAATGTATGAATGGTACCTGCAAGCAATTTGCCATACAGGAAACTGACATTAGTTTCGTCAACTTCAAACAAATTATTGGTATAGCTCCTGAGCCAAATATTTTTATGAAAGGTGAAAAAATGTTTTATAAGTTTCCTAATAAGTTAGATATTTTTGAACGTCAGTAAATAAGTGAATATTTATAATTTTAAAAATTTGTTTTGTTATACCATTTTACTCCAGTTTCATATAGATTATGTTTAACAGAACCAGAGATCGTTGTTTACATTTACCCCATTTTTAGTTTTTTTCTTAAACTCTGTCGGATATCCTTTTTTTTGTGACTTTTTCTACTAGCTTTTAAGACATTTTACCGTAAACTTTTCGTGTAATAGCCAAAACCTTTATTTTTTTTTTAAATATGACAGTATATGATAATAGTATACCCTGACTGACCTTAGTAAACTTAAGTTTTTATTAGTCAACTGTTATTAAAAGTAACAAGGAACATTTGATTGTATTAAGTTGTTTGACTTGCATTGCCTCAGTATAAAGTGTCTGAAATATATCTGTATGATGTAGGTTCTGAGGAGACATCAGAAACCGTTGTAGCCCCAACGGAATCTGCAGAAAATGAAAACTCAAATAGTTCTAGCAGCGAGGACAGGAGGCCCCTTTTAGCTAGAATAGACGTTGGGACAAAGAGGAAGGCTGAGGTATTGTCGAAAGAGAGTGGGAAGATCGGAGTGACTATAACTACGAGTCCTACCAGTTCAAGTCCACCACCCATTAAAGTAAGTGGCCTTTAATGCAATTATGATCAAAAATTAGAAAACTCCCGAAAATTTTTTCGCTAGTGGTTTAGTTTAAAATTGGCTGGTATGAAACTAGAAAAACTCTAAATAATAATTGTTTCACTTTTAGACACCTAAACTTTCCTCGAAGCAGACTTCAGCTGCATCGAGGACCAATGAGCGCCAAAATTCAAAAGCCGAAGAGGAATCTTCAGCGATTCCATCAGCTTCTAGTCCAGCTGTTCTGACAGCTACAGCGCCGAGGACCAGTACGGATAAGAGACAGGTACCCGCTGACGCGACTCTACCGCATTCGTCGACTAAGGAACCAGCATCGCCCAAACCCATAGCATCACGTACTGATGAAAAAAGGTAACGATTTTGTTTGTTCTGTAGTGGTAAAAAAAATTGGGCTGTACGATTTATACTAATTTTTCAGTTTTTAGGAAATATGATTTTATAAATTATGTGACACTCTTGTTTGATTTTCATAGGTAAAAACTAAATTCCAGAAGAATTCTGTCGAATTTGGAAATTTTTGTGTTCATATTTGTGTACATTTTATTTTTATTGAAGCAAAACTAGAGTCTTGAAATTCGGTAAATAGGTTTCGATACAAAGATGACCACTATCGACTTTGGCGCTGTTTTCTTCTGTTAATTTTCTTGTGACTATTCTGTTTCTTAAAGCAAAGTTCTAGAACCTTAAAATTTGGTAAATAGATTTTTCTTGATCCAAAGAAGAACCCTATAGAATCGTTTCTTCTGGTAATATTCTAGTGCCTTTTATTTTTCTTGAAGGAAAAGAGTCTTAAAAGTTTAACAATAAAACACTGAAATCTTTGTTTTCAAACTTCCATAAAATTTATTTTAAATCTTATCACTACAGCTGTTTCGGCTGATTGCCTTTCTCAAGTGATCTATTTTTGGCTTGGGTTTACAAGTTTATAGTCTCTAATGAAATAGGTTGAGGAGGGGAGAACTGTTTGTCTCAAGTTGGTCATTCAGAATTATATCTGTGTTTTTTAATTTGTTGATTTCCATAGATTCTAACAAGCTTAAGGCCTTTATTTTGAATGTGAAGAATTTTAAATTTGTCATTAACAGAATGACTATGATGTAGAATCTAGAAGGTGAAGTGCGTATTTCGAATCTGTTTTTCTATTCTTGAAAGCCCTTTTATGTTCTGCTATTCGTTTATCAAAGTTTCTACCAGTTTGACCAATGTAAGTTTTTGGGCAGTCGCCACATTGAAGTTTGTACATACCACTATTTAAGTGTTTTTTATTTTGGCTCTTGTTATTTTTAATATATTTGCCTAGGTTGTTATTTGTTCGGAAAGCTAGTGTTATTCCTTTCTTTTTTATGTGTTTGGCAATTTTTGTTGATATTTTGCCTGTATATGTAATCAAGCAGAAGGTACTGGGTTTTTTCTCTGGTGGTGGGAATACTAATTTTAGAGCTTTCTTGTGTAGTTTTTGATTTAACGTTTTATTAATTGTTTGTTCATTGTATCCGTTGTTTACTGCTATTTGCTTAATTATATTTAATTCTGTCTCAAAGTTGTATTTTGACATAGGAATTTCTGTTAATCTATGTAACATACTATGATAAGCTGCCAGTTTATGTTGTGTTGGATGGGATGATGAATTGTGTATAGTCGTGTCAGTATGGGTAGGTTTATGAAATATGGAGAAGTCATGTTTTTTTTGAAGTCTGCTAATTTTTAAATCTAAAAAATTTATGGATTGATTTTGTTCTGTTTCTATTGTAAATTCAATATGACTATGAAGTGAATTAATATACGATAAAAATTGGTCGAGTTGCCTGTTAGTTCCTGTGAAACATAAAAGTATGTCGTCTACGTATCTCCACCAATATAAAAACTGTTTGAATACGGGATGTTTTGAAATCTTTGTCTCTAGATGATCCATAAAAATATCTGATAGCAATGGGCTTAGAGGATTACCCATTATAAGTCCTGCACTGTTATTTGTATATATTTTATTATTAAATTCAAAGTAGTCCTGGTTTATGCAAACTTCAAGAAGATGTAAAATTTCAGATGTAATTATTGGATTTATACTATTTTGGTCTAAAAGGTTTTTTACTAGAATAAAAGTTTCTGTAGGAGGGATACTAGGAAAAAGATTTTTTACGTCAAATGAAAATTAATCTGGAGTTGTTAGGTACTTGAAAATGTATTTTATTAACTAGTTCTATTGTATTTTTTATGGTAAATTTAGGTAAAAATTTAGTGTGTTCTAAAATAATCTCTAACATTTTTTTTTGAAATTTTATATGACGGAGCTGTATAAAAAGAAACTACAGGTCTTATTGGGTGATCCGGTTTGTGTAGTTTAATGAAAGAGTAAAATTTAGGAGGCGGTGGGTTCATGATATTGAGGTATTTTTACCTCAATATCATGAAACCTAAAGTAAAAGTAAAATTACCTATTTCAAATATATATACGAATAAATATATACGAATTCAAATCTCACTTTTCTTTAGTGAATATCCGAGTAAGTTAGTTTTTCTAGAAAATGATTTTTTCTTCTTCTGTTCATACTTGTGTGTTTTTCTTAAAGCAAAGGTTCTAGTCAATCTAGTCTTCGTTAGAATTGTCAAAACACGTCCAATGTCATTTTTTAAATAAATAACCGTAGAAATATCAAAACTTGCATCAAACTATACTTTTTTTAGTAGTCTTTCTATAAAACGATATTGGAAATGTCAATTAAAGCTAAAGTCAGACTTTTTTTTAGTAAATTTTCCAAAAAATGACCGTAGAAATATCAAAACTTGCGTCAAATCTCACTTTTTTTAGTAAATAGTCGAGTAAGTTACTTTGGAAACTCACTTAAGTATCTTAAGTACTAAGTGATACTTATGTATCACTTTTTTAGCAAATCTTCTAGAAAATGACTTTGGAAATGACAAAACACGTGAAATGACATTCTTTCAATAAACATACATGTTTGTATTTTGAGAACGATTTCCGAAGTGGAAATTGAAACGTCAATAAACGTATTTTTATCTTTAATTGTGGCTTATTCCCAGTTTAATAGTAATTAACTTACAATGCCACAAGAAAATAGCTTCAGAACAATATTCTAGGAAGTTTCCAGGAAAATGTCAAAATACACGTCAAATGTCATTTTTTTGGTAATTTTTTTTAAAATAACCGTAGAAAAATCTCAAAACTTGCCTCAAATAATACTTTTTAGTAGTTTTTTTTTGCAAAAGTTCTATAGTCTTGAAATTTGGTATTACCATTCCTCTCGATTCATAGAAGAATCTTATTAAATATGTTGCGGCATTTCTTGTGTTAATGTTCTTGTGCCTTTTATTTGTCTTCAAGTAAATTTTAATAAACGTCAAAAATCAGTTGTTTAAGAAAATCTAAAACTCCTTGGAAATTTCATAACTTGCGTCAAATCTCACTTTTTTTAGTAAATATTCGAGTAAGTTACTTTGGAAACTCACTTAAGTATCGTATGCCTGGTTGCACCAACAGATCTTAAGCTCCAGCTTAGCCCAGCTCTGCTTATAGCTAGGGCTGCCTTAACTCTCACTTACGTTGCACCATAATTTTCGATTCTAAAATATTCTTAATACTAAATGTAATTTATTTAGTAAATTAAAAAAAAATAACCGTAGAAATATCAAAACTTGCATCAAATTATACTTTTTTTAGGTTTTCCAGAAAATAATATTTAAAATGTCAAAACTAAAGTCAAAGACATTTTTTTTATAAATTTTCTAAAAAATAATCGTAGAAATATCAAAACTTGTCGTGAAGCAAGAGTCCTAGAGTCTTGAAAATTGGTAAAAAGGTTCTTGATTCAAAGAAAAATCCTGTCCAATTTGGGATATTTTTTTATTCATATTTGTATACGTTTTGTTGTTCTTGAAGCTAAACTTCTATAGTTTTGAAATTCGGTAAATGGTTTTCGATCCAAAGAAGAACCCTATCGAGTTTGGGGCTGTTTTAAAAGAGTCTTAAAAGCATTTAAAATAACGTCAAAAATCAGTTGCTTAAGAAAAACTGATAAAAATTCTTGTAAATTTCAAAATTTGCATCAAATCTCACTTTTTTTAGTGAATATTCGAGGAAGTTAGTTTTTCTAGAAAATAATTTTTTCTTCTTTCTAGAAAATAATATTGAAAACATCAATCAAAACTAAAGTCGGAGACATTGTTTTTAGTAAATTTTCCAAAAAATAACCGTAGAAATATCAAAACTTACATCAAATCTCACTTTTTTAGTAAATATTCGAATAAGTTACTTTAGAAACTGACATTAAGTCTCACTTTTTTTTTCTAAAATTTCTAATTTTTCTAAAAAATAATCGTAGAAATATCATAGAACTTGCGTCAAATAACACTTTTTATTCATTTTTCAAGAAAATAATATGTTTCTTCTTCTGTTCATACCCGTGTGCTTTTTCTTAAAGCAAAAGTTCTATAGTCTTGAAATTAGGTACGAACCTTCCTCTTGATCCACAGAAGAATCTTATTAAATGTGTTGCGTTTCTTCTGTTAATATTCTTGCGCCTTTTCTTTGTCTTGAAGGAAAAAGGTATTAAAAACATTTAAACTAACGTTAAAAATCAGTTGTTTAAGAAATTTTTCTAAAAGTTCTTGGAAATGTCAAAACATGTCAACTAATATTTTTTCCAGTAAATATTCTAGGAAGTTTCTATAGTTATTGTTTCTAATAGTCTTGAAATTTGGTACGAACATTCCTCGTGATCCACAGAACACCCTTATTAAATGTGTTGCGTTTCTTCTGTTAATATTCTTGTGCCCGTTATTTTTCTTGAAATAAAAGTCTTAAAAGCATTTAAACTAACGTCAAAAATCAGTTGTTTAAGAAAACCTTCCAAAAGTCCTTGCAAATTTCAAAACTTGCTTCAAATCTTACTGGAAACTCTGGAAACTGATATTAAGTATCACTTTTTTAGTAAATCTAGTAAATCTTTTAGTAAATGACGTTGAAAATGTCAAAACACATCAAATCGCATTTTTTAGTAAATATTCTAGGAAGTTTCCTGGGAAATGTCTAAAAACACGTCAAATGTAATTTTTTTAGTAAATTTTTCAGAAAGTAACCGTAGAAATATCAAAACGTGCATCAAATTATACCTTTTTAGTAGTTTTCGTAGAAAACTATAATTGAAATGTCAAAACTAAAGTCAAAGACATTTTTTTAGTAAATTTCTTAAAAAATAATCGTAGAAATATCAAAACCTGCGCCAAAATAATACTTTTTAGTAGTTTTTCTAGAAAATGATATTTTCTTCTGTTCATACCCGTGTGCTTTTTCTTTTTCTTAAAGCAAAAGTTCTATAGTCTTGAAATAAGTACGAACATTCCTCTTGGTTCACAGAAGAATCTTATTAAATGTGTTGCGTTTCTTCTGTTAATATTCTTGTGCGTTTTATTTGTCTTGAAAGAAAAGAGTTTTAAAAGCAAAGAAAATTTCAAAATTGCGTAAATCTCTCTTTTTTAGTAAATATTCGAGGAAGTTACTTTGGAAACTGATATCAAGTATCACTTTTTTAGTAAATCTTCTAGAAACTGAATTTGGAAATGTCAAAACACATCAAATGATATTTTTTCAGTAAATTTTTTAAAAAATTACCGTAGAAATATTAAAACTTGCATCAAATTATATATTTTTTTTACTAGTATTTTTAGAGAATGATATTGAAAATGTCAAAACTAAAGTCAAAGATACATTTTTTAGTAAATTTTCTAAACAATAATCGTAGAAATATCAAAATTTGCGTCAAATAATACTTTTTAGTAGATTTTCTAGAAAAACTGATTTTTTCTTCTGTTCATACTTGTGTGTTTTTCTTAAAGCAAAAGTTCTAGTCTTGAAATTTGGTACGATTATTCCTCTTGATCCACAGATGAATCTTATTAAATGTTTTTTCTGTTATTATTCTTGAGCCTTTTATTTTTCTTGAAGAAAAGGAGTCTTGGAGTCTTAAGAGCATTTAAACTAACGTCAAGAATAAGTTTGTTTAAGAAAACCTAAAAATCCTTGAAAATTTCAAAACTTGCGTCAAATCTTACTTTTTTTAGTAAACATTATAAAAAGTTACTTTGGAAACTGACATCAAGTATCACTTTTTTAGTAAATCTAGTAAATCTTTTAGTAAATGGCGTTGAAAATGTCAAAACACGTCAAATGACATTTTTTTTAGTAAATTTTTAAAAAATAACCGTATAAATATCAAAACTTGCATCAGATTATACTTTTTTAGTAGTTTTTCTAGAAAATGATATTGAAAATGTCAAAACTAAAAAACATTTTTTTTTAGTAAAGTTTCTAAAAAATAATCGTAGAAATATCAAAACTTGCGTCAAATAATATTTTTTAGTAGTTTTTTTTAGGAAATAATCTTTTCTTCTTCTGTTCATACTCGTGTTCTTCATTTTTCTTAAAGCAAAAGTTCTATAGTCATGAAGTTTTTTACGAACATTCCTCTTGGTAAAATGAAGATCCTTATTAAATTTGTTGCGTTTCTTTTACTTCTGTTCATATTCTTGTGCCTTTTCTTTTTCTTGAATCTCTTGATTCACATCTTTCTTGTATTTGGGGCATATGTATTATTTCGCCATAGTATTTTAAATCAAAAATACAGTGTTGTCACTTAACCCGAATTTTTTCAGCCTTTACTGACATTGTTGCATTGACGATTAAATTATTTATTTAAAGGCCCGAGAAGAAACCGGAGCCCAAGCCCGAAAACGGTCAGCCGGAAGAAAAACCGATCGCTGTCAACGGCCATAACATCAATATCAACAACAACACCATCCCCAACGACATGCCATCCCTTACAAGTCCGAGTTCGGAGTACTGGCTGGCTAGGAACCCCGTTGCAGACCAAGTTTTCATAACTGACGTGACAGTCAACCTGAAAACAGTGACGATTCGTGAATGTAAGACTGAAAAGGGATTCTTCAAGGATCGTGACGACAAAAGTCATCCCAGTGATATTGTATGATTTGGTTTTTGGTCTAATGTACTGTAGTTGGTGAAACATTGGGTAAATATGAACGTTTCTAGAATATCAAGTGTTTGAACTATGCGCTGTAGCGTGAAATGAGAGATTTATTTTTTACTGGCTGATAATTACTTTTTGTAACCTGAAAACATAGATGGTCGTTCTGAAAATTGAGATGATAGAACAAGTATAATATGCCGATGACAGTTGCCATTAAATGCGAGTAATATACATTATTTTTTCTACGACCAGTTTCCATTAATAAAATATTTTGTGTAAAAAATATGAAACAAATGCAAATTATGTGACGTTAAAATGAAGTAATTGATTATTAATTTTGTTTTCGTAATGATTGACATACTCTTGGATATTCTAGAAATGGCAAACTACAAATTTTCTTAGAATGTCTTTTTTGATAAATTGAGCACAAAAGAAATATTTTTAAATATGCCTAGTAGAGTAGCGTATGTGATACCAATCAATTCGGGACTATGACGTCATGACTTCGACATACGTCATATAATATATCCCTAATAAATATTACAGAAAACTTCGTTTAATATCCTCTTGCGGATATTTACAGGGAGTTATGTAAATGGAGGTATGTAGTAGAAATAAATTTTGTAATAAAAAATATAAAAAATGAAGATAAAAATATGAAATTATGTAAATGGTATGCTTGTTATTCTTTAATATAAAGTCTAAATCATTTAATAGTGTTTATGTACAGTTTTAAAATAAATTTTTGAATCTACTTTCTGTAAATGAAGTGAGAATTAAAAAAAAAGTTAAAAATGCAGTTTTTTTCAGATATGGCTGGAGATATTTCTCCATTTTTCCTGCCTTGAGCATTATTCTTTTAATTTCTGTTACTCAATTTCTCTAGATGGTCTCCACAGTCCACAGCAACAACCATTTCTTTGTAGGTCTTTCCCTTGAGAAGCAGGGAAAAGCACTCCATTATTCTCGATCCTCTCTGGTTTGTCTATGAATTTATGCATCACATATCTTGACTTTCTGGTCTGTTTCTATTATTTATGACATTTTTCATAGCAGATCACCATTTTCTTCTTGGTCTTTCTTTTTGTTTCTTTTGTGACAAAGCAAATAGCAAAATTCCTCTACTGCTCTCTAATTTTGACATACGCTTTCACTTAATACCAATTCTTGGCCACTTCGTGCAAAGTATCACATCTTTCTGGACTTTCCTTATACTTATGTCTGTAAAATCTTCATCTTTGTCTCTTTTTGGCAAATCAAAGAGCATATCTACCCATTTGCCCTCTGATAGTGCCCCAATGACGTAACTTGCTGCCCATTTTTTGCCTTACCACTTGGTCTCCTTGTGCAGAATGTCCCCTGAATCTATATTCTCCAATATATTCTTTCAGAACTTGAGGCTACTGATTCACATATCTTAACTTCTTGACCAGTGTAAACATCTAAAGGTCTAATAAAAAGTTTATTTTGTCATTTATTCTCAATGAAATATCAGAATTTATGTATCAGAAACGTAAAAACTTTTTTTAGTGTACATAAACAAGTATTGCATCTACTTCCAAATGGTTAGAGATAAAATTGTTTATAATGCTTGTTACTATTAAAACAGCGACCGAACTGTTTGATCTAGTATAAGTATTTAAGATGGAAACTATAAGATATTGTAATGCAAAATCCTAATTGGTATTTAGTTTAACTGAACACTTAGATATTTAAAAATCACTCTTGAATGTGTTCATGCAAAATAATCTGAATCAGAGGTAAACATTTGTTTATATTAATCATATATGAATATTACTGAAAATGCCAAAAGATAAGCAAACCATTTAAACTAACGTCAAAAACCAGTTGTTCGAAATTATTCTAAAAGTTCTTGGAAATTTCAAAATTTTGCGTCAAATAAAACTTTTTTTAGTAAATATTCGAGAAAGTTACCTTGGAAACTTACGTCAAATATATTTTTTTTAGTAAACCTTCTAGAAAATGACGTTGGAAATGTCAAAACTTGCGTCAAATGCCATTTTTGTTATATTTTTTAGAAAATATCCTTGGAAATGTAAAAAATTGCGTCGAATGTTACCTTTTTTAGTAATTTTTGCATGATACTATGAATAACAAGATAGGATCTTCCCGTAGCACCAAATCGGTCGTGTTTGCGCATGCCGTCATTGGAGAGTAGAATTTGAATTCTTGTTAAAGTTAAATGGGATTTGTATGCATTCTGTGATGAAATTACTAGATGAAAATAAGTTAAGAGGTTTAATAATTACAATAATCGTACACATAAGTATATCTCCAAACTATTTATTAAAGTTAAATATCGATAGCAATTAAAGTAAACTGTATAACCCAAGCTTAATCAAGCCATTCAGAGCGATGCTGAGAATATTAAAATTCCACTATGCATCAACAATTTACCCATATAAACTACTATCATTTTTGTACTCATTGCGTCGAGTAAGGACAATAACAAAATAAATGACGGTTGCGTTTCGATTTAATTTGAGTCTCTTACCACTCCCTGACACGTGTTTCTGGGTCTACCCGTCATCAGAAGGAGTTTTGTAAGAAGACTCCTTGAGTCTTCAGACCTTGAGAATCAGAAACACGTGTCAGGGAGTGGTAAGAGACTCAAATTAAATCGAAACGCAACCGTCATTTATTTTATTTATTAAAGATTATTTATTGATACATACAAAAAACTGACATTTCGAACGTGTAACTCTCCAATGACGTCACGACTTATGCGCAATATCTTATCTTCTTAGTCATAGTATCATGAATTTTTGTAGCAAATAATGAAAATATCAATAATTAAGTCAAATGTCACATTTTTAGTAAATCTGCTAAAAAATGATCTTAAAGATATCAAAACTTAGTCAAATGTAACTTTTTTAGTAAATATTCTAGAAAGTTACCTGGAAAATATCAAAAAAACACGTCAAATGTATTTTTTTAGTAAATTTTCTAAAAAATAACTTTAGAAATATCAAAACTTGGGTCAAATGATACTTTTTCAGTAGTTTTTCTAGAGAGAGATAGGAAATATCAAAATATACTTCAAATGTCACATTTTTAGTAAATCTGCTAGAAAATGATCTTGAAGATATCAAAACTTAGTCAAATGTAACTTTTTAGTAAATATTCTAGAAAGTTACCGGGAAAATATCAAAAAAAACACGTCAAATGTATTTTTTTAGTAAATTTTCTAAAAAATAACTGTAGAAATATCAAAACTTGGGTCAAATGATACTTTTTCAGTATTTTTTCTAGAGAGAGATAGGAAGTGTCAAAATATACTTCAAATTTCTAGAAAATCTCAACACATAAATCAAATGTCACATTTTTAGACATCTACGCAGTAACTTACGTTTAGAAAGGTTTTGAAAATATATTATGTATGAGAACAATGGGAAAAAATAACATTATGAACCTTTCGTTTCTAATCTGTAAACCGAAAAGTTAACAATGCTTTAATTTTTTCTAGTTATCTGATATTATTGAATTAAATAATTCAACAGTTAGATATACAGTATCTAAAATTCAGCCCTATTGGCTGAATTTTAGAGATCGATGGTTTTTGTTAACATCTGTTTCCATCTTAAATATTTATATTGTATCGAATATGATTTTTGATTCTATTGACCTTTAATATATTTATTTATATATCAATAATCTAAGATGCTTTCCTACATTTACACTAGCTGGTGGCCTAAACCGTTATAGACCTTGTATCCATTGACAGTTGTACCAAACAGTGTAAATTGGTCCAGGATACAGCTCTATACAGATGCTCCAAAGTTCTGGTATTTAATTTTTACATGTAACTAACAATAATTAGGATATTTCGTAATATTTTCTCAACTACAGTACTTACACATACTTCAAACATATTTTGCTGGTGTTTGTACAGGGTAGCTCTTTTTGTTAGAGCAGTATTTTATGTTTATTGACTTTTTCACCCATATACAGTAATTCTGGTGCTGAATCGGTTTTTTTGTGTAAATAAGATGATCCTGGATTTATATGAACGCATAAGATATTAGAAAAGGATAAACTATAACGAAATATGTTACAAACGGATTTGCTGATGATCTACATTAGTGATAAAAGTCATGATCGACATTAACGATTTAAAATGCGAATGCGGATTGTGATCCTTATACCATTTCTGATTAATTGCTTATAGTTTTATCTGGATTATGATTCTGTTCATCATCATTTCCAAAATACAAACATGAATCAATTAATGTTTGTATTTTGAGAACGATTTCCGAAGTGGAGATTAAGAAGTCAATAAACTTATTTTAACCTTCAATTGTGGCTTATTCCCATTAAACTAGTAATTACTTTAAAATGTCACAAGAAAATAGCTTCAGAACAATATTAGTTCTAAAGTATGTTGAACTACAGATTCTAGGATCATCTTTTTTATCCTCCCAGTGAAACTCATACTGTATCACAGATTTATTGATAAAACACACTCTAATTTAAAAAGATACGTGTCTATTTAAAAACAGACCACACTTGTACTGCATGTTTTTATAAGTTCTTTTATAAAAATTGATTTAGTGGGTTTTCAATAGAAATAACAAACTTATTTGCTTTTTAAGCGGTCACTTCTTCTTAACGTGCCCCACCCCAAAGGACATTGGCTATCACCATGGCCCATTTGACTCTATCTTCAGCCGTTCTGAAAAGTTCTATTGACGTTTTCCCGTGCCATTGTCTCAGATTCTTCAACCAGGACGTGCGTCTTCTCCCCGTTCCTCTTTTGCCTTCCACCTTCCCTTGTATGACCAGCCGCATCATCAGGCGGCCACAGGAAGGAATAATTTCAAAACATAAATAAAAAGAATATTGTAACAATAAAATACTGAAAACTTTGTTTTCAAACTTCCACAAAATTTATTTTAACTCTTATCACTACAGCTGTTTCGGCTGATTGCCTTTCTCAAGTGATCTATTTTTGGCATGCGTTTACAATTTATAGTCTCTAA